GAAACAGTTTGTCACAGCCCCTCGTTTGTTGTCCTCTTCTCCCTCTCTGCCTACGGTTTACCGGGCAGTTCTATTTGACGATAGATATATATATAACGATATATATATATATATATATTGATATATATATATATATCTTTGTGACGATATATATATATATACAGAACCGCCCGGTTAACCGCAGCCAGGGTGGGAGTAGAGGACAGCAAACGAGGGGCTGTGAGCCTGTGACAGACTGTATCGTCGGAGTTTCACTGACTTACTCATCAGGAGGCTGAACCCCGGACAGTCTGCAGAGTCGCCTAACCCATGATGATATGATACTAGACGCGATATATATATCGTCAAACAGAGATGCCTGCGGTAAACCGTAGGGGCAGAGAGGGAGGGGAGAAGAGGACAACAAATGAGGGAGGGGCTGTGACAAAAAACTGTTTCGTCGGAGTTTCACTGACTCATCAATCAGTAGAGGCTGAACCCTTAACAGTCTGCAGAATCTCCTACCTAACTGATTACACTGTAAGTGATATTCCACCTTAACCCTGGTTGTGGTTAAGCGTCAACAACTGGCCGGCAACTGATAGATACCCTGAGGTGGTGGGGACCACCAACCACTGCCCTCAAGGCACCTCTGACGGAAATCGAAGCAGACTAATACTCGCCTACACCAGATGGAGAACCTCTACAGACTGCAAGTTACTCACACACCATCACAAGCTTGTGGTCCCCACCAGACTGCAAAACACCCATGGAATAGAGACAGGTTCGTCACAGCCAGAAAATACACTCCAGAGTCCAGAGTCCAGACATGGCGCTGAGGTGGTGGGGACCACCAACCACTGTCCTCATGGCACCGACCACTGCCATTCAACCTGTGACCTGTGACTCGGAGAAAACCGTTTCCCATGTTTCTTTCCTGTCTTTCTGTCGGTGTCTCCCTTTGTACTCGCCATTTTGATTGTGCCTTTCACCTTTTTTTTTGTCTTTGTTGTTCTCCTTGCGACAGGGCCCATACTAATCTTCTCTGTATCGTTTCGATTTTAACGACTGTCCCAGGTGCAAGGTGGCCCTTTTATATTTATTTATGAGACGGTGAAACTCCAATGAAACAGTCCGTCACAGCAGGGTCTCCCTTTCCAGTGTTTCCACCCTCACTTCACGGATCGGGTTCGTCTAACATTATATTCGCTAAGGGCGTATGCGGGCGGGCGCTATTTGCCCATTAGCAAAGCATAGGGGCTGTAACAAGGCATAGGGGCGTATGCGGGCGCCCCTTGCTGAAACCTTGAGAGTGTTTTCTCGCCAATCTGCAGGCGTCTAAACAACATTAATTGAGCACCCTTAAGGATCTGCAGTTTTCTCGCCTACTTGAGGGAAGCCCTAGAGTCGCTAAGTGGCTCCCTTAAGTGGCTCCCTTAAGTGGCTCCCTTAAACCACCAGTACTTGGCCCAGCTATCGGCCGCGGAAAAAAATAAAGTAGAAACGTTTCTAGTTGGATGAATTTGGGCGCTCCTGTAGTGGCCCGTACGTTTCCTAAAATCACATAGCGTTAACGGGCACGACGTTAGGAAGTACTGGTGGTTTAACTGGCTCTCTTAAGTCCACCTTGCACCTTGTGGAAACAAATTGGCCAAGTACAAAAGCAGGCAGGCAGGTACTCTAAACAGCATTCATTGTTGCCCGACTGGGCATCATTGGATGCCAATAAGGAGAGAGGAGGAGGAGGGGAAAAAATGCTGAAAGCAAGTAGTGATATTCTAGAACTTTGAACGGATAGTCGGTTTTCTTGACGATGTCAGGAACAATCCTTTATCACTATCTAAAATCTCCTTTTATAAAAAAGCAAGGGAATTTTTTTTTCCCCCTTTATCACTATTATTCCTTCGTCACCATTAAATGATTACATGGCATTAATTCAACACCCTCTTTTTTTGCCTATGTGCAAGTTATGGAAGCTTAAGGACTTTTCCGCTGACCGTGGGAAAACCGGTGATCTGTTGTTGTTTTCTAAATTTTTATTGTATGCAGGGAGGGATTTCCTTTGGGGTATTGCTTGTACACCAAACGTCGTCCAATCCGAGGAAGGGCCACAGCACACGTGGCAGCGACGCAGCAGCCGTGCGCATAGGCACGCAAACAATCGAGGACCGCTGTAGCGCAGAACGCGTTGCTACAGAAAGCAAAGTGGATGTGGATGTGGATGTGGATATGGAGAAGCATGTGAATGGGAATGCAAGGAACGATGTGGATGAGCATGTGAACGGCAATGCAAGTAGCGATGTGGATAAGCATGTGAACGGGAATGCAGATAAGGACGTGGATAATTACTTGGATAACGAGGCGAATGAAGATGCAGACAAATATGTGGGCAACCATGCAGACAAGGAGCTGGAGAAGGATGTAGTCAAGTATGTGAATGTGGATAAGGATATGGATAAGGATGGCAATGTGGATAAGAATGCGGGTAAGCATAAAGATGTGGATCAGGTTGTGGATAAGGATAAGAATGTGGATAAGGACGTTAATAAGGTTGTAGATAAGGATAAGAATGTGGATAAGGATGTTGATAAGGTTGTGGATAAGGTTGGGGACGAGGATGGGGATAAGGATGTAGATAAGGATAGGGATATGGATAACGATGAGGCACAAGGAATTATTACGCCAAGCATCCGGTGGTTGAAGCAGAGGTGGCCCATTGTTCTAAGAACAGGCGCGACAGCGGTACCTGTCAAGAAAGCTGCTTCCAATCAAAGCGTTAAAAAAGAGCGATAACAATCATCTGATGTATAATAAGGCGCCACAGCAGTACACATACGCAACGCACGAACACACCATTTTGAGGTACCGCAACAACGCACCATTTGGAGACCGACCTAGACTGGAAGTTGGGTGGAAACCTTTGAGATCACAGCTCGTGTATGATAATGCACACTAGCTCGGATTTTTCGAGTTCGTCCTATGAATTGAAGTTGGGACGTCGGAGCAGGAGAGCTTAGGACCCCCATTTGGACACTAAGCTAGGAAATTAGGACCCCCAATTTTCACGTCACGCTAGGAAATTAGGGACCCCACTTTGCGATCAAGCTAGGAAATTAGGACCCCACTTTGCGATCAAGCTAGGAAATTAGGACCCCATTTTGACATCAGGCTAGGAATTTAGGACCCACATTTTAACACATCAAGCCAGGAAAATTGAGAGATTGTTAACCGACCCCCCATTTTTCACCTCAATTTATAAGAAAACCATAAGGCCATTTCAAGCAAACTTCATACCAATGTATAGAGTGCACTTCTTACTAACATATTATAAAAAAATACCCAAAAAAAAGGGAAAATTAGGACCCATGTTGACATCAAGCTAGGAAATTAGGGCCCCCACTTTGAGATCAAGCTAGGAAATTAGGACCCATTTTTAGATCAAGCTAGGAATTTAGGACCCACATTTTAACATCAAGCCAGGAAAAACTAGGACCCATTTTGACATCCAACTAGGAAATTAGGACCCCCTTCTTCGACATCAAGCTTGGAAAGATAGAACCGCTTTCTTGCACTTTGTTGCTCGTCTAATTTCCCATTTCGGGCCATTTCCACATCAGGGCAAGAAATGAGGAATTATGTCGACATCGAGCCAGGAACTTACCGTCTTCAACTCGAATAGAATACCTGTCCATTGAAAAAGGGAAAAAAAAAAAAAAGGAAGAAAAAAAAGGAAAAAAAAAAGAGGAGAAAAAAAGAAAGTCTGTCCATTATAGCTGCGTAATTGCACCACCCGCGTTCAATTCAGGTGGAGAGACGGTAGGACATCTTCCTTTTTTTTTTCTTTTTTTCTTTTTTTTTTTTTTCTTTTTTTCTTTTTTTTTCCCAATTGCACTTTGTTGGTCTTGCAACTTCTTGCCGCCTTTCGTTGGCCACAACCTTTGCACTTTCTTGTTCTTTTCTTGTTCTTTTCTTGTTCTTTTCTTGTTCTTTTCTTTTTTTTCTTTTCTTTTTGTTTCTTTTTCTTTTTTCTTTTTTTTGGTCCTTGTGGCTGTTGATGGTGTCGTGGTTCTTCAACAAGGTTCGTGGTGGTGTTTTTTTTAACTTCTTGTTGTTCTTTTCTTTTCAAGTTGCAACCCTGTGGTGTGTCGTGGTGGATTGAAAATTTCAAATTGACAAGTTTTGAGTGGACACAGCCGAAACATAGGGTTAGACGCATCCATCAAAGTTTCGTATGCAGTGACGTCTTAAAAAAAAAAAAAAAAAAAAAGGGTTCACAACATCACATGCAATAGCTCCCTCAAAAAAAAAAAGGTTCACAACTTCTCATGAAATAGCTCCCTCTTAAACAAAAAGAAAAAGAATGAAAGCCTGTAAGCTAAGCTGGGAGATCCTATCAGCAATTCTGGATCGAATTGTGAGGTCCCTGGCCTCGAACTGGTTGTTATAATATTATTGGACTGAAATTCAATGAATCAGAAGTGCAAAAAAAAAAAAAAGGAAAAAAAAGGAAAGAAAAAAGAAAGAAACAACTGCTGCTTCTGTTTCATGTCAGTAACAGCAAAAAGAACGAACACTTATTTTGTGGCAACGCCAGTAAAAATAAATTAAGCTTTCTCCCCACCACCACCACACACCCCCCCCMCCCCMCCCCCAAAAAAAAAAAAAAAAAAAAAAAAAAAGAGTTTTAGTAGCCTTCTTATTTTTCGTGGGAGTGGCTTTGATTGAAGTAAAGCCTTTTTAACCCACCAGTACTTGGCCCAGCCATTGGCCGCGGAAAAAAATACAGTAGAAACGTTTCTAGTCGGATGAATTTGGGCGCTTTTGTAGTGGCCCGTACGTTGCCTAAAATTGTGGCTTGTTGACGGGCACGACTTAGAAGTACTGGAGGTTTAAAGGTTTTTTTTTTAACTTCGCATTCATTTTTGTGCACTTGCTGCGCACCAGCCCTCTTGTCGACGAGGAGCCATACGCCTGTGTACTTTGTCCTTTGGGACATCCGTTAAATTTGGAACGATACATGGCCACTCCTCATTGCTCAAGGACGACGGACAGAAATCAGGAAATGGTCAAAAGATTCGATTCATTCCAAATACTTTGTTTAGATTTTTTAGAATAAACTTTGACAACCTTGAATAAAGTGAAAAACGAGGGATATAGAAATATTGATATATTATAGATATTATATCCTTCGTTTATAACTTTATAGCAAGTTTATGCCTAAGCTTTGGTGGAATTGCTGGAGTAATGGCCGCGTGCTTCACTGTTCCAATTTGCAGTGTTTTTTTTTTTTTTTTTCCCCTTTTCGGATAAGCGAACCTTTGGTTCTGCCGTCAAAACCCACGCAACCGAATTAATTCTACAGGCCGTCCTTCGAAATGCAAGTCTCTGCCTATCATGTTTGAAATTTCTTTAACCTATCGATAAATTTATTGGGTTCTGCGATTCTGAAGATCAACTTATTATGGGTTAACTGACTTCCAAGCTGTTCGCGCGAACGCGCGAACACATTCGCCCGAATGTGAAGGGGCGCGAACACGTTCGGCGTGCTACGCAGCTTCCAACTTTGTTTGGGTGTTTTTTTTGTTACTTGGGACCTGCTGCACCGAGGCCCTAGCCGCAAGATACTGGCCGTTGATTTCCATTCGATGTGATCACTATCACTGGGGGTGGTCTTATCCTTTACGAGGTTGTCGAATAAGTAAGAAACACCGGGAGGCGGGAGCACATTTATTCAAGGTCACACCCCGAAAAAGGGGGAAAACCCGGAAAAGAAAGTGCAGCAGCGTGCAATAAGTCTTGTTTTCGACTAGCGGCGAGGCAATTATCGGTCGGAATCGAAATCGCCAAAAAAAGAAAAGCAACCTTTGTTTTGGACAATCTCCCTGTCCTAAAGGCAGACCCCTTTCAAAAGAGGGGGTGTTGGGACTCCCCTTGCCAACCCAGACCCCATTTAAAATGGGCTTGATGCACCTCTCGCCAACGCAGACTGCTTTTAAACCACCAGTACTCGGACCAGCTATCGGCCGCGGCGCTTCCCCGGTAACGCGCCGCACCGCGCCTTTAGGGCTTCGGGGTACCGGACCACAATGGCTGGAAGCGCCAGCCAAAAAGAAATGGGATCTGCACCCCGGCGCTTCGGCAAAAATTGGCGCGCAGGGGGATTCTAGGCTTGGCATCAATAGCTGGGCCAAGTACTGGTGGTTTAAGAGGCGTTGTTGTGATGAGCGCTTCATGATCCTTAATCACTTGAACCCCTTTCCTCTGTAGATAGCAGGAGCTTCATTTAGGTAATGAAGTACTTTGCTTTTTGGTAGCTAAACCCAAGCAGCTCTCGTTTAGGTAATCCGACCGATGGGGGAAAAATGGGAGCAGAAGTGAAAAAAAAAAAGTGTCTTCGAAATTTCTCCTTCGAATCCACGAGGCAGCGATGTACATACAAAGCTAAAGGAAGACTATCCTGATGATACAGCAGAACACATTCTCATTATGGCTGTACCAAGCCGTAAAGATGACCTGTATACAGAGTATAGTAGCGTATACATCATTATCAGCAGTGTTATACTCAGGTAAAGACTGTATTCCCTAACTGTATTTCCTAGAGCACAACTGCTGCTTATTATGGTGTATTTCCAAGAGCACAACTGCTGCTTATTATGGTGTATTTCCTAGAGCACAACTGCTGCTTATTATGGCTCTACCGAGGCTTAAAGATATCCTGCATACATCATGATCAGGGGGTGGTTATATTTAGGCTCGGTATTTATAATGATGTGGTTATATTTATGGCTCGGTATTTAGGTTATCTTTACGCCTTGTTAAAAAAAAAAAAATTGGTAGTAAGGTATAATGTATCCAAAAAAAAAAAAGAACAGAAGAGGACGAAGAAAAAAGAAAAGGTACTTGATGTATCATTATAGTGGCGGTGAGAAAGAGGCAGAGTAAAGGGGGAGGTGATAAGCACAGGGAAGATAGATGAAGAGAGGACAAACGAAGAATGAAAAGGGGAAAGGAAGGATAAGAAAAGGCCCGAGAATGAGTCTGTCCTTGACGACAGAGAGGACGAGGTGGATGGGCACATGGTAGAAACTAGCTGAGCATTCTCCGCACAATGACAGTGGGAACCAAGCATACCCAACACACACTCCGGACAAATGGCACGTCGATTGCAGGCCAAAATGAAGAGGAAGGAAGAACGCTTACCACAACAGACCATGCATTCAGTATAGCGCCCATGGCCGAAAAATGGACATATCAACACAACAATTGACACGACAGTGGGAACCAAGCATGCCCAACGTACACTCCCGACAAATGGCATGTCAATTGCAGGCCAAAATGAAGACGAAGGATGAACGCTCACCACAAAAGACCATGCATTCAGTACAGCGTTCATGGCCGCAAAAATATGGACATATAGTGTCCACAGATGCGGAGGGTGCCTGCAGTCAGGAACGGAGGGACAGTCCTCTACACACACGTATGCAGAAACCATGTCATTCTAGTGATTGTGACAAACAATGGCAGCTACAGCCGAGTGGAACTCTGTCTGTAGCTGTGCAAAGGCGAAGGTCGCAGCGTTGGTACATACGTTGTCCTGCTGCAGCACAGGGCTAAGAGATATGATCTTCGACATAAAAGAGATTGCTGACGGTTTCGTGTGGCAATACAACAGCATCATTATAAGTCGGGTCCAGGATCACACCTGAGGAGTCAATCCTCTGGTCTCCAGAGTAATCAATGCTGGCAGGCACCTTCCAAACATCCTCCCACGATCATTCTATGTATCATATTGTATTCATACTATGTAAGGGACGCTGGACCCGTTTTCCACCAAGTGACGCTCCCCACCAATAGATCGAGCCTCTCCCCAGGTGCTAGCGATGTCTGCTTCCAACAGCATCACTAGCACTGAGGGGACTGCGTTAATTTAAAAAAAAAAAAAAAAAAAAAAATCAGTAACATCAGTCATGGCAAGGACCATGATGCCATTGTCCCATAACTCCCAGTGGTCAGAGGTCCGTACATTGGCAATTTAATGGCCAGGTTCATGCACAATGCAGGCAGAGATGTGAGACGGAGGATTAAACCACGAACCTGCTCGAGCATTGCGTAGCTCAAGTTGGTGGTCCCTCGTTGCTACTTCTAAGGACAGCTATTACAATCCTCTGGCTGTGGGCGGGGGAAGATCAGCATCAA